ATATAGATGTCCTCCTCTTTGTAAATTCAAGGAAAGCTGGCTTTGTTGTCAGAGAGATAAACCTACAGTAAATGATCAGGAAACAAATGCATATCACTCTTCCACGCATGAACAATCCCCATTTCTCAAGAGGCAGCTAAGTTATACAATAACATTGATAGAACTTTTTCTAGGTTCTCTAATATGATGTTTTTTTTAAACACTAGAAACCCATGGACATAGTTTACTACTTCCATATATTTTGTTCATTGCTTGCACCCCTGACCTTAGCAGATCTTTCAGCATTCCTGCTGTTCAGTAATTTAACATCTCACCTGAGTGACAGCAACATTTGTCCCATCGGTGACTTCCACACTCAGATTATAGATGGACCTCTGCTCTGCATCCAAAGGTTTTGCGATGACAATTGTCCCAACACCCTTCTCTGCATCAAAAGAGCTGTCAAAATTGCCCCCTGACAATTTCACAGAAACAATATGAAGTTAGCATACCTGAGAAGTTGTTCCATGTACTGAAGCTTATATCTTTAATGGGAGCTCTTACGTAGAAATACTTTTTGACAGGCATCCCTATGGCTCAATTTTGTACATCTTATATGGGACCTCTCTATTTCTAACTTAATTCATATTTCAAAACACAGCCTCTACAATGCATAACAAATGTCACAAAAAAAGAATGCATTGCAAAGAAAAACCTCAGTAGTAATGTTAATGAGTGAAGCATAAACTGACTCCATAAAATATTTAGAGAGCTAAAGACCCTTCAACCCTTCATGGCTTCTGTGCTAGAAATTTGTAAATCCTTTTGATTTTTCCAAAGCAGATTAAATTCTAAGTAAACAAATAGTCCAATTATTGATAAAAATGAGTCAATGCTTAAAATCTGTTCCAGGATTGATGGTAAACATTTGGCTGGTAGAATTCAGATTTCTCCCAATTAGATGTCAGAAATAAAATTATAAATTCTAGAAAGTAAGAAAAAGAAAAAAAAAGAATTTCATATTAAGAATTCTATATCTGCAAGTTGGGATATTTATAGAAAAAAAATTTTTTTCGCCATCTTGACAGTGTGAATTATTTTTCTCAAAAAATTAGAGAGCTCATGGGAGATTCACAAAGTGAAATTGGGAAAAAGGTAGAGGAAAACATCAGCTTATGTAACATCAACTTATAAAACAATTTATATAAAAGTTTAGAAAACTTTATTTTTCCCCCAGGGCCAGGTATATAACTCACAGTCTGAACAGTATGTTTAAGACAGAATTGACATTGTTAAAATTACTGCTGGTGTTTTCATTTCTGTAAACGTAAGTGTGGTTTATGATCTTCCCAAAATAAAAGCCTTTTTAGGGGGAGAGAAGATAATGATATAAATGCTGGAATGACTTTAATTAAATATCAGTATATGTTTACAAGCTCTATTTATTTTAGTCAAAATTTTCATGGTTTCAATTAATTTTGTTCTTGGACAGTAATTTTATTTAACTACAGCACATAGAGCAATGCATTTATTGAATTTCACATTTTATGAAACAAACCTTGGTTTTTCTTAATTCTACATTCTTTGCATTTCATTTTGCTAATCAATGAACAATATGTTTTTATGATATTACAATTATAAATGGGCAAATGAGTTAAGAGAAAGGAGAATTTTACCTGAATTACTAGAATTTGATGTATAATGACACAAAATAATGTGGTTTATTTTTTTAAAACACCTGGTTATATATATTTCATATACTTATTGCTTGCAGCTGTAATTTTCACTTAAGATTATTTAATTGGTAGAGAGAACATAATTGCCCTTGACATTTAATTAAAGTTATGGAGATACAGAGGTAGCAGAGAATTGCTTGGAGATAATATACTTTTTCAAAAAATTTCATCTTAAAAGAGACTCATTTCCAATTAATATCTTTAATTGATTTACTGCAGAGCACTAAATGTTAACTCCAAAAAAGGTCTTTTGAAGAATAGGATAAGGAGCGAGGGGGAGAAATCTAGGCTGAAAAGGGAAGCAAGCCTTAGGTCCCCATCTCTTATTCAAAGGGATGTTTCATGTTGATAATCACATGAAATAAAATGAAAGGTTGATTCAACCGTCTGGAATAACTACCATAATGAGCAAAGAGGAATCAATTGCTATCAAGTGGTACGTTCTGAAAAAAACTTTGCCATGGAAACTTTCAAAGAAAAGACCTCATAAGACCTCATAAAATCGCCTCATGAGACCTCCGTAGAAGCAAAGATGAGAATACACCTTTCTCAAGCTGTTTCTGGTGGGTATTAAATTCCACTTTAAATCACATTTAAAATCACCTTTAGAATGTTTTCTTCACTAAAATGTTTTTTGAGAGGGGAGGGGGTCATCCTCCAATGTCTATTTTAGAAGGTGAAAACGTGGAGGTCAAGGCAAAATAGAAATTATGCAAATTATAAAACTTTAGTTTGCTCCAGCTTAAAAGATTGATGAAAATAAAATTTAGAGAACATGCAAAGATTTCCAGTTTCAGTGACTGTTTAAATGGGGCAATCCTATATGCTCTCTCACGGGGTCATCCTCCAATGTCTATTTTAGAAGGTGAAAACGTGGAGGTCAAGGCAAAATAGAAACTATGCAAATTATAAAACTTTAATTTGCTCCAGCTTAAAAGATTGATGAAAATAAAATTTAGAGAACATGCAAAGATTTCCAGTGTCAGTGACTGTTTAAATGGGGCAATCCTATATGCTCTCTCACCAACTCAGGTTCACTGTTTTCTCAGGGCCCTATACAAAAATACATAACCATTTCATGTGCTTAGTGGCATAAAATTTAAATATTTTACATATATCATGTAGACAGTGTGGTTTTTCTTGTTTTCCTTATCAAATAACATTTTTGGCTACTTTAATTGGAATTTTTTAGTTTTCTCTCTCTTCCTCTGTGTGTATTCATGCGTGTGTCTTTGTATCTCCCTCATTCACCTTTACTGTTCCAAATAGACAAGAAACCTCTATAGGGTAGGGAGATAGACCATTAGAAAAGCAGGAGAAAGAGTGCTTGATAAGAGAGCCTACCCAAATCTCTCAGTCTACTAATACGGCTAGCAGCCTCTGATACTCATTTCTAGGACCTCTGTTCCTAGTTAAACCAAGATTTCATGTAAAACAAAATCTTCCCTGAGTTTTAAAATGAATTTCTGACAAGGGACACAGAATCTAGACCAGCAGTTCACCATCAATCCTCACACAGTTTAATAACCTACCACTTAAGCATCCCATTTCATAAACGACTCCATATCTCTCCCCCAGGTCTCATTTCTCAGGCTCCCTTTTAGCCTGAAAGGTGATTTCATTTTCATAGGAAACCATGTCCAAATCACCCGGGGTGAGGATATCAGATGCAAGGAGTCCATTTTCACCAGCAGCATTCTTTTAAACAAGGTGTGCTTCCTCAGAGCCAGTAACAGAACATGCAAAGCCAAAGTGTGTTTGGTGCAGCAGCATTAGGCTAAACGAAAGGTGAGGGGGAGGGAGGACACTGCTGAGCTGGTCTGAGTTTCAACAAACTGGGAAATTGGAAAAGTCACAGCCTGAGCGTTGCTGCAGGGGTGTGCGGCAGAGATGGTAAAAGCGAGGTTGTGAACAGCCCACATAACAGGTAATTCACATCAGGGACATTTCCTTTTGACCATTGTTGGTCAAGACAGGTGTCATAAAGTAAACAAAGAGCAGAAGGGGCACACTGCATTTCTGTTGGATTCTGAAGTTAAACAGCGAGTAGGACTGTCTTAAAAGCCTTCAAAAATGGGACATGGTTGAAAATACTTTGAGCCACAGCTATTGCTCGAATGTGCTGGGCAGCAGAGCACTGGGCCATGATTTAGTCAAGTTTTGCTTTAAAGAAGGGGATGAAGTGCCACCGTCTCTCCATAAAGATATCCAGTGGTGAAAATCACACAGCTTCTCTTTTAAAGAAGCTTCCAGTTCCCTCCCCTAGTGTGTGATGATTCCATTCCACTCCATGTGTAATTGTAAAAATACCAACCTAGATCTAGTAGTCACCAAGGGGGAAGTGTTATGTGAGAAGCTTCCAAAACACTGAGCTGCTGCATCTCAATGAGTTAAGGGAGTCTTACACAAGCTGTTCATTCAAGTTCAGCATGAACACCGAACTGAAGGAAAAATGTTAAACACCAGTTACGGTGTGATCATGAATAATTTTCTGCCTTGGAATGAAGCAAGCACAGTACGAGGCTGAAAAGGATATTTACGTGGAGGCAGGAGACACTGGTGGAAATCGGAAAACAGTGGTAGGAAGAAAAAAAATCTCTTCTGGAATCTAGTTTAAAATTAATTTTCTTAGAATGATTAATATATGAAGCGTTTTTAAGGCTTTTCAATATTTTCTTAAAGTGTCTTCAAATGTGCTCCTATCAACTAGATTGTTGCTATGGAAAAAAGAGAGGCCAATCTGGGATCAAATTAGGGAAAGAAGGCAGAACAGGAGAAATGAAGTATTTATGTCAGTTGAATGACTTTGAGCAAAAGTCACTCACTCTGATGGAAGAATGGCTGTGTTAGAGATTCTACATGAACATGGTTTCTCTCAGAAGAGTTGAGAAAGAGTTTTTTAACAAAGAAATGCGGCCACTGGTTAGAAAAGATCCTGAGATGCCCAAGCTCTGGTCAAAGAATGAGGCCACTGCTAGTGCTATCAGAGAGTTACACTTGACTACTGGATCCCACCCTAAAGAAGCGATGGCTCCACTGGGAACATGTTTCAAGAAGAATAGGCGTAAGCTCATAAGACAGCAGCCCAGAGCTCAAATTCTGCAGGAACCTAGGACGAACTAAGGTCTAAGGCAGCCTTTTTGCATCTGCAACACAGAAAGATACTTTAGCTAGAGGTGGACATCAGTGCTAGCGCTTGTCATCAGAGAATTATTTTCAAAGAACAGCCTTTCCCCTCTCTGTACATGGGGTGAGGTAAATAAAGATATGTAGGAGCTTACTATGTATAAGGAAAACTATTCTTCTAGCCTAAGTCAGGTGAAAAAAATGGGTACAAAATGGGTGGCAGCACCCCCCAATCAAACTGTGGGAAAAGAGGAAGTGTTTGAAGTGTGGCCTTTACGAGTCAAATATTTGCCATCGGGATATTTGTGACTGAACTGTGCACCAGATTGCATGCACATTAGACAGTATGTAAATCAAGGAGCTGCTGAGTTGAAATCATAGTCTCCTGAGAAGTGTGAAGATATGTGACAAAGCCACAAAGGATCATGGGTTATTTTTGTTCCCTTCATTTTCTTTCCCTTTTAACACAGAGAAGGAACATGCTGTGCACTGGGCTGTTTAAACACAGAACAGCTGAACTTTATTATGTTTCTTTTTAATTACAGCTTTCTTAACTCAGTTACAAGTAGGGCTTCTGTTTCTGGAAGCTGAAGAGTCTCGCTTCATAACATCATAAGCAGGGGTCTTTTTGGAGGCAAAAGAAAGTGTTTGGCAGATCCTTGGTGCAAGAGTCCAGGCGTGGGGACACAGTTTTGCTTTTGTGAATTCATGTCATGGTGGAAGGAAAAGAAATGCAGTTGAACAAGAATTGAGTAGATTTGAAACTGTAGGAATTAGGAGATTATGCTCTCAGGGGAAAAAGCATGCTGAAACAGTATTTCTGCTCAGTTAAGGAGAATTCGTTAGTGCCAGCATTTGTAAGGTGTAAGTGCTAGAATGTTGTGCTCTCTGTAACTCAGTGTCTGTATAGATGTCTGGATGCCCTAGGTCTATAATGAAACCAAATCTTTATTCCCCTTGGAAGAGTCATAAGAATATTTACCGAGGCAAGGCCTGTAGTTAAACTGAGACCTCATTTCAGATCCATGCAGATATGAAATGTCTTGTGCCTATTCTTGGCGTTTATCTATAGTACACTGCTAAGTTTCTTAAGCATTGAGAAGCACTGTTCCCTCTCTTTCCCCTCTATGTTAGCTTGGCCAAAGAAGAGAGGCTTAGGTGAAAAGGAAGAGATGAAAGACAGACTGAAACACCTGAATATGATAAAGAAAACAACCGGTATTTAGAGAGGGGGAAAGATGCTGTCAGCAGATTAAGAAAAAATGACTCTGATAGATTAGAAAGATTATCAAAAGGGGGATTTGGTGGAAGGGGACCATATTGATACTGAAAGCAACCAGCACCTGGGGAAAGGATCTTCCACGGTGAAATAAAGAGTTGGCATTTCAAGATATTGTTAGCTGGATGTGGTGATGGGAATACAAGGAAAATCACGTTCTGTTTAGGCATCTATCCCAGTAAGTTCAATTTGTAAAAGAAGCTTGGCTAGCTGTTACCATTTATAGTGATATCTCTATGACAGAAGCATCCAGACCAGAGGGACAATACTGCAGGTCTTCATTAAGAAAACTACTCAGTGCACTGAAACCGAGGGGATTCTCTAAGAAGAGTGCAGTGTTTAGAAACACAAAGATGGAGAAACGTGAAGACTGATGCCATGTTCTTGATAGTGGTTCCTGGACCTATATTATATTTGGAGCAGCCTAAAGGGATTCCTTCAAGGGAGGGCTCTCTTCTATAAACTGCCTCTCTCTTCTTGAACCAGGGACGTTCCCATTCTGTCACAGGTGTTGAGGTTGCCATGGCTGGGGTGCAGTGAAAGGTCACACTGGCTCTGGATAGGCTCCAGAAGGCATCAGTAGGGTTAACATATGGCTGTCTGAGCATCTCTATCAGTCACCATGGTTTATTCCACTTGCGTGGGGTAGATAATGACAGAAGCATTGGCAGGAAGAAGGAATGAGGAGACGTGAGCCTTGACCTTAAGGGTTACGAACAGTGAGAGGACAAACACAATGAAACTATCCAACAGCACAAATAATGCTGACATGAAAAACTTGCAAATAAGGTTATATGCAGTACTCCTGGCATGCTTACTTACACATAATCACACACATACAGGAATGCTGAAGAAATGCAAACCTGACCTGGCGAACTGAGGCCAGGTGGCTGGTTCATGTGAGCATCAGAGGAAGGTATGCTTGTAGGATTTCTATGGTGGAGCAGTAGAGAGGGCATCTCTGGGGGTGTGGGTGGCAGGTGGGAGGTGCTGAGGGCCAGGATGTTGCGTGCATGGATCATGCGAGGGAGAGAAGCGGCACTATCAGCTGTAGAGGTGTCTGCAAACTGGAGTGTCAAGGGAGGAGGGAAATAAACCAGTGATGGATGAGAGGGTAGCTCATGTCACCGCTCAGAATGGCACACTAGGCTTCCTACTGCCTACTTGGTTTCTGTGGCACTCTTCTTTGGGCTGTTTAAAAGAAATCACTATAGCGCATGTCCCTGGAGACCAAGCACCACGGACACATGTTGAAACCAAAGTGTATTTTCTGTGACTCTGGGGATGGCAGTGAAGGAATCACTGCAGGTGACTGCACAGACAACCAGGTGGTGGATATGTACAACCTTTTGTTGTACCAGGAAAGAAGAAGTGGCCTCAGATGATATCAATGAGCTGAAAATTGCTGAGGAGATGAAGAAGCAGAGACATCGTCCATGACTAAGAAAAGATTTCATTTCAAATATTTTAAGTGGAGACAAAGAGGGAATTGAAAGCTTAGAATGAGGATGGTCATGAACAGGGATGGCATGATTAATGCCGATTAGGTAAAACAAAGACGTTCTACCGTCATTCCATAAAATGAAATCTGTAGGAAACAATCCTTCTGGGGAGTTCAGAGGACTCTCTCCCGAGGTTTGATTGGGGGCCACGGGGCATTCTTTTTCTGTGCCTCATCAAAACAGGTGTGGAACATTCTAAATGCCTTCCCCAGACCCAGCCGCTTCTGGGAGGAGAGGCAGGTTCCTGCTCATCCTCTCCAGGCAGTGACATGTGGAAGAAAATGATTCCCACAGACAGGCTCTCTCGTGGGTTCCCTGCCTCCCACGGAGAAGCATGGGAAGTCAGCTTCTGCTCAGCCCAGAGTCAGACTGAGGCCAGCACATACTCTCCGCTCTCTCTTCTCAGCAACAGCCGATTTTGTTTCCTGGTCCTCTGCACTCACTTCCTCCCCAGAGTTCTCCCTGCTTGTGTGTTGAGGGCCATAGTGCTGTTTTGCCCTTTCCTTTTGCAGCCTGGCGTGCTTGCTTGCTTTCTTTCAAGGAATTTAAAGGTTGGCTCCAAAGGTCTACCCTGCATGCCTCCATCTGCTTTCTCTATTCAGCTTGCGTGGGTTGCCGACTGGCTATATATCTAGCTTCCATTTCCCACCCTTCCTTTTGTGGACAGCAGCCAGGGGACTCTCCTGATGGGGCTTTTTGGTATATGAATGTTACTACTGCTGCAAAACAGAGGGGCTGGGAGACATGTTAATTTATTTTTCAGTTGGAAAAGGCCCAGTGACATAAACCCACCTATGAAAAGATAAAAACAAAACAACCAGAAGCCCACATACCTCAAAAGCAAAGAAAAAAAAATCAAAACAAACCCCCCAAAATCCAAACCCCATCAAACCTCAAACAAAGGAGTCATTGGTTTTGAGTAATGCAATAGCTGTTAGAGGCATGTATGAAATCTGTGGGCTGCACTTCAGCCTGTCACAGGCAGTTATGAAAGATGTAATTCAATTTGCTTCATAAAAAAAAAAAAGAAAACAAAACCATAAAAGGCAGATTGGATAGCTGTATTTTAGCAAATGTGTTTGCACTAAGGGTACCTTCTGTTGAACAGTTCTGCCCACAAGCTGTCTGTAGAATATAGAACATCTCTCGAGCATGCTTGCCACCTTGAAGCAGGGCAGTCGGGAGCAGAAAAAAAAAAAAAAAAGAACAGAATGCAGAAAAAAGGTGAAGAAAAAGAGAGAAATGAAGGACAGCAAGTCTAGTACCATCAATACATTTAGAAATGAGATTAGCCAAGTGTGACAATAGAATTTAAATGACACACAGAAAGACATTAAGATTGCAGTAAATAACGTACTATGGAAAATCCAGCCAGAGAGCACTTTCTGTTCAGCTTAGCTACAGAGTCAGAACGAAAGCACAGGTCGATTATTCATTTTACTGGCTCTTTTGCATTCCAGCACTATACATCTTTTAATCTTAGCACTGATTGTTAGTTTTTGTTTGTTTTTTTGTATTTTTGGTTTTTTTTGCTAGTTGCTCCACAAAACAGTCAATTATTACATTGCCCGATACTGCTCTGGAAGACTCAAACTTACCAACTATGTCAAACCACAGAGGAGTGTTAGCTGGCTGCACAGACACCACCCCCACAATCTCAGTTACTCTATCGCTTTCCATGACTGTGAAGTTATAAAAGGGCTCATCGAAGGTCAATGGAATAGGTGAAGGGGGTGGTTTCTTAATCCATTCAATGTGGAGGCGGGCCGTGGAGGATTTCTGTGGACGTCCATTGTCTATTGCCTTTATCTGCTCACGCACAGAGAGAACACAGAAAGATATCTTAGAGCTCTGACCCTGTGGAAGTTTGGATCTGCCACTCATCGATTGTTGAGCCAAGAGTCCATCCTCATCACAGTGTCCATTAGGGGAAGTAAAGAGTGGAAATCTGGGGACAATGGGCTTGGGAATTGGGGGGAAACCTAGTCACATGGGAGCCTCACACTACCTTCACCAGAGGCTGATCTCAACCACAACCAACTTTACTGATATGGAAACTTTGAAAGACAAATGTTACATTTACAATTTGTAGTGTTTTACAGTCATGAGTGATGGTTACATGAGTAAGAATAGCTAATTTGATTCCTTATACAATGGCTCTGAACCTCACCTCTGGTGGCGATACTAGAAAGGGAAGAAAGTGCATTGAGAATCCCTATATACGCGTGAATGATATGTGTGAAAATGGGTGTGTATGTGGACATGTTTTGCAGCTCCTTCCTTCCGCTTGATTCTGGAAAAGTACTTGGCTTGTACAAGTTCCCAGAAGGGTAATGGGAGTAGGTGTGGAAAAGGCAGCAGCCTTTGAGACCCTTCAGTTATGCCCCCGGTGAAGGGGTGAAGGAGAACTGTCCTGGTGGCTCCTGGAGGCAGCGTGGTGGGGAGAATGGTGCTAATGACTCTTCTCTCTGCTCATCAGTCAGCTGCTGTAAGGGCTGAGGAAAGCATGTCTCCTCACCCAGCTGTGCAGGGTGGACTGCTGTGGTGTCTTGGATTCAAACGGGAGGGTCAAAAAGTCCAAGGAGCAGAACAATGACCAAAATATTAAAGAAATGATTCTCAAATATTACATTTAAAACTAACTTTTATGGGCACATAACTAATAGTTATAGCCTTTTAAAACAGTGTCAACTCATAGCACCATCATCATGCTATGTGTTCATGGATGATTGCTTTGCCCCAGAAAAATCACTGTAGGATGGAGAACCCTTGAAGATAAATGTCTTAAGTTAGGTTTCCTAGGAGCTGAGACAGGAATTTGAGTACAAATGGTTTTTTGGGGGAAGCACTTTCAGGAGAAAGGAAGTAAAGAGATCAGGATGGGCACGGGTAGGAGCTAAACAAGGATGGGGTCCTAGGTCTAACCTCTCATGGGGAACTCATGAAGAGCTCTGAATCATTAACTGCACCACAAAGTTGATCCACCTGGAGGCAAGGAGGTTAGACTTTTGTATACAAGTGTCAGTCAGTCATTGGCTGTGGGCTGCTAGGCTGGGGGGTAGAAGTGTGGAATCTCTTGGGTCAAGAATCAGCCAAAGATGATTCTCTGCAGAAGGGGACAGCTGTGAGGCCTTAGCAGCCAATCAATGCTCCTAACAGTTGGGGGACAGATGAACCAGCCCAGTAAAGAGGATCTGGGTAGGGCACCAGGTCCTCAAAGATTTCCAAACTGCAAGTCTCACACAGCTGTAACAGCAGGTATTTCATCAGAGCTTACTATGGTAGAAACAGGGCTGGTATTTTTTTTTCTTCTTCTTTTCTCTGCCCACTGTTCAGGATACATTACTGAGCAGGGAAAGGAACCCAAGTGCAGGTCATGGGAGTGAAAAGATAAATCAAGAGATTCAGGTCATCCTTTAAAATAATAAACAACTGATTGTATACAGCAGAGAAGGCTGAGGACAACGAGGACAGCTGACAGTGCCAACCCTTGAGAGTTGCACGGACCTTGGACAGTGCTCATCATTTGTAGGGATGACGGGTGCCCTGTGCCTTAGATATGGGAGTTTAAATTTATACATGAGATATTGTTCGTGTTTGTTTTTATTTTTAATTTTCTAACTGAATGAAAAACTTAGTCACTTTTTATTTTTTTTCACTTTTTATGGAATAGCTGTGATTTGTGTTTCAGAATTTACCTATCTAGATTCATGTTCCATCACATCATCAACAACTACAAAAGTTGACATCTTGGGGAAATGTTGAGTGATATGAGGAGTGATGGATGGGATATGTCACTCTGCTATTCCTCTACCCTCAGTTTACCTCTATGATCAGTACCTTGAGAATGATTTAGGGCTGCAGAAAGTATGGCTGAGGATGTGGAGGAGCAGGCTGGGAATGGGAGAGAACACTGGCAAGACACAACCAAAGGAAACTGTCTCATTATTTAGAAACATCACTGAAACAGACAAGAGTTCTCACATGTACTTGCCTCCCAGAAAGAAGCTTCCACAGCTGTGTGGCTGCACTTTTTACTCTAAAGATCTATTGCTCAGAGGAAGATACACGAATAAGAAAGTAACCCCCTTCTTCCATCAATATTGCTGGAGTTCAGAGGATCTTACCGTGAGGATGTCATAACTCCCTGCTGTAAACTGCTTTCTGGAAGAAACCATGCCGGTTTTAGGGTCAATAAAGAATTTTCCATCATCATTCCCATCCACGATACTGTAGGAGATTTCTGCATTGGGGCCCTCATCTCTATCAAACGCAAAAGCCCTGTAAATGGGTTCTCCCCTCTTCTTCCTGTCACGTTCTGGCAACTTGATCTGGTAGACCTTCTCTGGGAACTGGGGCTTGTTGTCATTTTCATCCAGAACCTGAACCACCACCCAAATGGTCGACTGTTTCGGAGAGGAACCGCCATCTGTCACAGTCACCTGAGTTGTGAAAGAGAAAGCATGTTGTGATCAGAAAGAAGAGCTATTCTTACTCCTCCTCCCCCTTCCCACCCCACAAAGATCAATTCTGTGCACTAGGGCATCTCGACTTTTCTTATCCCTGTAGTTCATATCAGATGTATAACTTTAATAGTTCATCTGTAAAAGGAAAGAAATGCCCCTAAAACCAGTAGTGAAAATCATTGCTAGAAAGGTAGTAGGCAAGCAGGGATATCTTAGTCTGTTCAGGCTGCTATATCAAATTACCATAAAAAGAAATTAAAGAGTACGTAAAAAGATGAAAGACATTCCATGCTCTTGGGTTGGAAGAATCAACATTGTAAACATGTCTATAGTACCCAAAGCGATCTACAGATTCAATGCAATCCCTGTCAAAATACCAATGACATTCTTCACATAAATAGAAAAAACAAACCTAACATTCATATGAGATAGCAAAAGACCCCAAATAGCCAAAGCAAACCTCAGCATAAAATAAAGCTGGAGGCATTACACTACCCGACCCCAAATTCTACTGCAAAGCAATAGTAACCAAAGCAGCATGGTACTGGCATAAAAAAAGACACCTGTACCAATGGAACAGAGAACCCAGAAATCAACCCACAGACTTACAGCCAACTGATCTTCAACAAAAGCACTAAGTACATACTATGAAGACTGCCTCTTCAATAAATGGTGCTGGGAAAACTGGACATCTGTAAGTAGAAGAATGAAACTAGACCTGAATCTCTCACCATATACTAAAACAACTCAAAATGGATTAAAGACTTAAATATAAGACCTAAAACTATAAAAGTCCTAAAAGAAAACATAGGGAAAACACTCCAGAATGTAGGACTGGGCAAAGACTTTATGAATATGACCCCTAAAGCACAGGCAACAAAAGAAAAAAGTAAACAAATGGAATCATATCAAACTAAAAAGCTTCTGCACAGCAAAAGAAACAATTAACAGAGCAAAAAGACAACCCACAGAATGGGAGAAAATATTTGCAAACCATGCATCCAACAAGGGATTAATATCTCAAACAGCTTAACAATAAAAAAATCAAGTAACCCAATTAAAAAGGGGGCAAAGGAGCTGAATAGGCATTTCTCAAAGGAAGATAAACAAATGGCCAACAGACACGTGAAAAAATGCTCAACATCACTCAACACCAGGGAAATGCAAATCGAAACCACAATGAGATATCATGTCACCCCAGTTAGACTGGTCATTATCAAAAGGACAGAGAATAACAAATGCTGACAAGGATGGGGAGAAAAGGAAACCATCCTACACTGTTGGTGGGAGTATAAATTAGTGCAGCTATTATGGAAAACAGTATGGAGGTTCCTTGAACAACTACAGATAGAACTACCATACAATCTAGCAATCCCACTGCTGGAAGTATACCCAAAGGAATGGGAATCATCATGTCCAATGGTTACCTACGCTTCCATGTTTATTGCAGCTCTACTTACAATAGCCAAGACTCAGAACCAACTTAAATGTCCATCGACGGACGACCAGATATGGAAAATATGGTATATATACTAAATGGAATAATACTATGCCATAAAAAAAGAATGAAATTCTGGCATTGGCAGCAACTAAGCATTTGCAGTAAAATAATCCAGGCACAGAAAGAGAAATACTGCATGTCCTCACTCATAAGTGGGAACTTAAAAAATAAATAAATAGGGGCTGCCCAGTTAGCTCAGTTGGTTAGAGCACAGCCTTTTAACCCCAACATCATGGGTTGAGTTCCCCTTACTGGCCAGCCACCCCCTCAAAATAATAAATTAATTAAAAAATAAAATAAAGAAAGAAAGAACGAACAATCAAATATTACATTGAACTTTCAAAAGAAGAAAACAGAACTGAGGTTACCAGAAGTGGAAAAGGGGGAGGCGGAGAGGTGCTTACCGAGAAATTGGTAAAGGGCAACAAAAAATGATTACATTGTGTAATGTTGAATATAATTATCCTGATTTAAGCATCACATATTTCTCACAGGGATATTCAATGCAGCACCCCACAGATATGTACAATCAACTAATTTTCCATAAAGATAAATAAAATAACATTAAAATGTGCAACCGAAAAAAAAATTTCCACACCGTAGATTGGGTCACTTCTAAACAACAGAAATTCATTGCTCAGAGTTCTGAAAGCTGGAAGTGCAAGATGAAGGCACTGGTGATATGAAGGCCTGTTCCTCATAGACGTGCCTTCTAGCTGTGTCCTTGAATGGTAGAAGGGGCTAGCTAGCTCTCTGGACCTTTTTTATAAGGGCACTAATTCCATCATGAGGGCTCTGCCCTCTTTATGTAATCACCTCCCAAAGTTCCCACCTTCTAATACCTTGGAGATTAGGTTTCAACCTGTCCATTTTCTTCTCTTTCTTTTCCGTCTTGCTATGGATTGAATTGTGTCCCCCCCCAATCCAGATGTTCAAGTTCTCACTCCCTTGCCATATGTCTATATTGGAGATAGGGCCTTGAAGGAGGTGATTAAGGTTATGTAAGTCCTAAGGGTGGAGCTCTGATCTGACAAAACGAGTGTTCTTATACAAGAGGAAGACACATCAGAGATCTCCGTCTTTGCCATGTGAGCCTTCACCCGAAACTGAACCCTGCCAGAATTTAGTCTTGAACTTCCCAGTCCCATGCTATGGTCTGAATATTTGTGACCCTCTCCCCCCAAATTCATATGTTAAAATCTGATCTTTAATGCAATACAGTAGTCCCCCTTATCAGTGGGTTTTCTATGGTTCCAGTCACCTGAGATCAATCATGATCCCAAAATATTAAGTGAAAAATTCCAGAAATAAACAATTTATAAGTTTTAGATTGTGTGTCATTCTGAGTGGCGTGATGAAATCTCTTGTCATCCCACTCTGTCCTGCCTGGGACATGAACTATCCCTTTTGTCAGTGTTTTCACACTGTAGATGCTCCCTGCCCATTAGTCACTAATTAGCCATCTCGGTTATCAGATTGACTGTTGTGTTATTGCAGTGCTTGTGTTGAAGTAACTCATATTTTACTTAATAATGGCCCCAAAGTGCAAGAGTAGTGATGCTGGCAATTTGGATATGCCAAAGATAAGCCCTAAAATACTTCCAGTAAGTGAAAAGGTGAAAGCTCTTAGCTTAATGAGGGAAAAAAATCGTATGCTGAAGCTTTGAAGAACTATAGTAAGAATGGATATTTTATCTGTGAAATTGTGAAGAAGTAAAGAGAAATTCAGGCCAGTTTTGCTGTCACACCTCAGACTGCAAAAGTTATAGCCACAGCGTGTAAGTGTTTATTTAAGACAGAAAAGGCACTAAATTTGTGGTTGGAAGTCATGAACAGAAACATGTTCCGATTGACAGCAATCAGGTTCAGTACCATCCGCGGTTTCAGGCATCCATGGGGGCTTGGTCTTGGAATGTATCCCCCAAGGATAAGGGGGCCTATTGTAATATTAAGAGGTGGGGCTTTTAGGTGGTGAGTAGGTCATAAGAGCAGAGTTCTCATGAGTGGGATCGGTGGCCCTGAAAAGAGAAAGAGAAGCCTTGTTTTCTCCTTCTACCACATGAAGACAAAGCCAGAAGGCACTGCCTGTGAGGAACAGACCCTCACCACATGAATCTGCCGGCATCTTGATCTTGGACTTCCCTGCCTCTAGGACTGTAAGTAATCAATTTCTCCTGGTTATAAATTATCCAGTCTAAGGCATTTTGTTACAGCAACCTGAACTGAATAAGACACCGCAGGAGACTGTGAGAAATAAATTTGTTGTTTAAGCCACCCAGCCTATGGTATCTTGTTAGCAACTGAGCAGACTAAGACACTAATATTTGTGAAATTTACCTTGTCCCTGGCCGGTTTTAAATACATTTCACAGTTAAAATGTTTTTACCAGGCCAAGCCCGTGGCGCACTGGGGAGAGTGTGGCGCTGGGAGCGCAGCAGCACTCCCGCCGCGGGTTCGGATCCTATGTAGGGATGACCGGTGCGCTCACCACGTGCGGCCGGTCTCGAAAAGGACAAAAAAAAAATGTTTTTTCCCATTATGAAATAATTTTTTTTCCTCTCTGGGAAATGGGAGGGGGATGGACACCCCTTCCTATGTCTCTATGATGCTGTTCATATGTGTGTCTGTGAAAATTGAGAGAAGAGTAACAAAGAGCACGTATATAAAGAATTTTTCATGGCAGACAGAAAAAGTCTTTGAGTCTTAGTGTGAGTAATTCTCTTGTTGGCGACAGTGATGATAATCACTATGATATTAGTACCTAACATGCGAATGGTGTGTCAGTTTAAAAAGCACTCTTTCATGAATTATCTCATTCATTTTCCAGAACATCCTCTTAATTAAGTAGAGCAGGCTTATTTATTCCATTTTACAGATGAGGAAACAGAGGCTCAGAGGTCCCATTGTTAATAAGTGCTAAAGCTAGGTATCGAATTTTTGGCAATTCTTAATGTTCTGTTTAACCACAAAACCTGGAAGAACTAACATTTAATCTTTAAATCATTACCTTAAATTAGACAGCTTATTATTTCAAAATATGTATTTGGAGGCTGGAAGAAACATAAAGATGCACTCAGCATCAATAAGAGAAAAACAACAGTGAATCAGTGCACCTGGTCAGTCATTTTTTTCACCTAACAAAGCAACCTGACAGGAATAACTGAAAAAAAGGCAAAATGTGGGAAAACAAATTAAACGCTTTTTGCAAAATAGAACTGCAATCAGCTTTAGTTTCCCTTATAAGCTGCCTAGGAGGATAGCTTTAGTAGACTCCAGATAAATTTCCATAGGACTTCTTGCTTTCTTTGAAAAGTCAATCAACTTTCCTTCCAAGGTTATTTCCTAATCAGTTTGTTGTGTCTCACAAAAGAACCACATCAGGGCCAATATGTGCCAAGGCCGGATTTTGACTGTTGATATGCTGAGTACTGAAGAGGCACGTTTTGCTGCAGCCGACGAACTCAAATGTTACACT